GGGGGGATATATCCCCTCCATCCCCCCCGGGATCTACGCCTATGCACTTTTTGACGCTCGGAAATGGCACTCTCAGATGGTAAAAATGCTTTTTTCAGAGCACGTAGTGTTCCCAGACAGAATTATTGATTTTTTTCCCGTTGCTTTAGGTGAGACTGACATTGAAAAAAATTGGAAGTACGTACGCAAATTATGTCGGCCCGCCGCTGGTCTCAAATGAACAGTGGCCACCAGTTTCTAAAAGTTTAATACCAGGGCTCTAGAATATAAGCAAATCGCTGACCGGACCACTTACAAAACGCGGGCCCGACGGCTATGCGAGGTTAAGCTCTCCATTGGTTACTACTAATAATGATGACGACGACGATAATTCATAATTGTATAAGGTCAATTATATTGATAATGATAATAGGCCCATTGATAAAATAATAAATATCCATAGAGAAATGTATGTTTACATTACATGTTTTGAGTTAGTTTTAACTTTTAGCTGTTCTTGTTTTTTGATGCATATTGTAATAATTTGTATAATTTTTTGTTTTGCGGAAGCACCTTTGTTTTGTCAAGGTGTGCCCCTGATGTAAAAGTGGAAGTCAATAAATAACTGTAGAGCCGCGTGGTGGCGCTATACATACAATCTTTGATTTGTTTACACCATGATGAAAAAAAGCAGAGAAATGGATGCGACCACGAAAAGGATTTTGAGTAAAGAAGACTATTTGAAAAGATATCTGCCTGGCTACGAAGAAGAGAAAAAAAGGCCTAAAAAGAAGAAAAAAGCAGCAGTTATAAAACCAAGGTATTATCATAGCATATCCCAACATATCAGGTCTAGTCTAGGCCGGTGTTGGCCTGGGCCCCCCTTCAATTATGTGAGTCACGGCCGTATTTCCAAGCGATCGGCAACTAGTGTGGACGATCGGGCCCACTTTCTAGAATGGGTGTTAGACGATCTAGCCCACTTTTTTACAATAAATTTAAACAGAATTAAAGGAGCAGCTTTGCTCTCTGGTTCCCCGGTTCAATTCCCATCGCTGCTCTCCTTGTGTTTCAGCTGGAAGGCAGTGAAATATTATAAGTTATGATTGTACACTGTCTTTGAGATGAGACGTTTAAGACATTGGTCTTGTGTGCAATATGACCCATGTGCATGTTAAAGAATTCAGTACACTTTTCACAAAACAGTGGGCGATTCTCTCCTGTGTACTGGCCAATTCGCTACCAGAAGGACCCCATTGGAAACAAGTTTTTGGGGGTGGGTTATCCTTGGTGTGATTCACACCAAAAATACTCCTACTCTCGGTTGCTTACTGGAGATAAAATACTAACAAAAAATCCCAAACCCATTAATGGGCACAATTAGGTTTTGACGTGGGTGCTTACCTAAGCTGGCTATCAAATTACAGTATTTTAATGAACAAAACAAGCTATTTTGTAAGGCATCATTTATTTTAGCAGAAATGGTTGCGTACTGTACAAGTGGTTGTGATATTTGATGGTTAATATAATGGAATTGTTTACTGTACCTCTTTCTAAGTACATTATTGGCTATCCGATCAATTGAAAATTAATGTAGAATAAATGCTTTCATATTTCAATTTTATAATTGAACTTAAAAGATTTGCATACCAGAATTTATGATCAAAATTCTATCTTTAAAGATTTTTTCTTTTGCAGGACAAAAATAGTTGATGATGATGTTGATATTCGCCAACTAATTCCAAGCCCAGAGGAAAGAAATGACGAATTGTTCTTTGATGAAGTACCTCAAGTTGCAGGTAAATTTATTCTAATTTAACTATTCTTATGAATGTGTTGAAAAATGTTCAAAGTTATGGTTGGTTTACAGCCCAGGTTCTCAACCAAGTTTGGGCTGCGAGATTTTTTTTTTTGATGTTGTGTCAATTATCAGATTTCCTGACAAATCAATCAAACATGACCAAAATTGCCCTAAGGATACATTTCATTTTTCAGTGCTCCCAAATGATTTGTTGAACATTAACAATGTTATGTATGGATTTCACCTAAAAACAAAAAGCTGTTATTTTTAGTGTTTGTTAAACAGATAATGTATTCTAGTACTCTAACACAAACTACTCACAATTTTTATACAAAAAACAGTAGGCCTACCCTATGGATAATTCTTTTGGGTGTAAAAGAGCTGAAATACTTTTGATGACTAAATTTCAACCCATACCTTTTTACAACAACATTAGAAGACATTGATCATTGAATACATTTCTTATAATAATCACTGCCTACAGTCAGTCATAAATTATTTTGCAGAAATAGTTGATGAACGGTCAATTGAGGAGATTGAACTCGAAAACTTCAGAACAGGAAACAAATGGCGAATGATTGATGATGATGGTAAGTTGAATATTGGATTTCAGTGTTAAATTATATCAATATTATGAACATGTTTTTGAAGATTTCTAAAGTCCTGTTGAGATTATCAAATTTTATTTGAGTTGGCGTGCCCAAATATGGTCATGATGACATCACATCATGACTATATATAGGCACACCATATATGGCATACGACAATTTTATATCATAGAAAATTTATTAATCTGGACAGAGCTTCAAATAAGTGTAATTAATTTCAGTTGAGACTATTCAGTTTTATTTGATTTGGCAAAACATGTGAAATGCCTTTATATGGTCATGATGACATCACATCATGACTATATATAGGCACACCATATATGGCATACAACAGTTTTATGTCATAGAAAAATTTATTAATCAGGACAGACCTTCAAATAGGTGTAATTAATTTCAGTTGAGGTTTTAGTATGCAAATGCTTTATCGGTGTTTTAAACTTTATGGAAAGGAGAAGACCAGATAAATGTTGGAGGACAGAATACAAGGCATGATAGTGGATCTGACCAGTCACCTTCAAGGAGAAGGCAAAATACAAGACATGATAGTGGATCTGACCAGTCACCTCCTCGGAGAAGGCAAAATACAAGACATGATAGTGGGTCTGACCTGTCACCTCCAAGGAGAAGACAAATTGCAAGACATGATAGTGGATCTGATCAATCACCTCCTCGGAGAAGGCAAAATACAAGACATGATAGTGAGTCTGACCAATCCCCTCCAAGGAGAAAGAATACAAGGCATGATAGTGGGTCTGACCTGTCACCTCCAAGGAAAAGGCAAAATGCAAAACACGATAGTGGGTCTGACCAATCACCTCCAAGGAGAAAGAATACAAGGCATGATAGTGGAACTGACCAATCACCTCCAAGAAAAAGGCCTGATGTAAGATGGTTAAGTTCTACTGACCATTCACATACTGCAGATAACAAAAGGAAATTTGACAGAAATCCTAAACTTGAGAAGACTTCAACAGGTTAGTACAGTTATTTATTATTATTTTTATTGTTATTATTATTATTATTACTTTATACTTACTAATAATTAAATAAGTTATCTTATTATTATCAAAATGTACTGTAGTACTGTCAAACCTAACAGATAAAAACAACTTTTAAGACTGTCAAGAGATTAAAAACTTGTCTAAAGAAATAAAAATGCTTAACTATCAGTAATAAATTGTCTTTAAATTGAATTCTTCCATGTTGGATACTACCGGGTAATTTGTGTTTTAAGGTCGAGCTGTAGGACTTCAGGATGCAGCATCTATGAAAAAAGAAAATGAAAAAAGACGTAAATCTGACAAAGCAGCTCTGAAACGGGTTGACGATGAGCTCTCTGGAAGGAATGCTAGTAAGCTTAAACCATTAATGTTCCACAGTATTGGTTTCTAAATATTTTGTGGTACTTGAAATGTGTATTTACTTAACTGGATAAGCCGACTACTTTTTACGTGAGTGAATTTTTTAGGTAGGAAACACCTCAGAAATAATAGTATTTTTTATTCCAGGCACAGCATGTAAAAGCTACTGACCAAATGTGCATTCTATATATATATATATATATGTTATATGAGAGGAAGTTATAAGGATACATATATTGTTGTATAGGTACTGTATATCGTGATAAAAGTGGAAGAAAGAGGGACTTGAATGTTGAGAAATTAAAACACACAGAAGAACTGAAAAGAAAGGAGGAAGAGTCAAAACAATTTCGGGAATGGGGTAGAGGGTAAGTTCTTTGAATTAAGTAGAAGATAAATTTTGAAACTGGATAGAGAATTAGTACATTGAATTGAGTAGAGGGTACAGTTATAAAAGGGGTAGAGAGTAACTTCATTTGATTATATACAATGTAAAGTTAGGCATAGAATATATATTAATGTAATTAAAAAGTAATTAATAAGTGAATTTTGTACTGTACTGGATATTTATGCTATTTTCCAAGAATGCTAAATGTCTGTATGGTCCTTTGAATAAAAATATTTACAATATAAACTTCTTTTCATTTATAAGAGTGGCTCAAACACAGAAACATAGTGAGGCAGTCAACGACCATGTTCATGAAATGGAAAAGCCCTTTGCAAGATATGAAAATGATACCGATCTGGAGTCCATGCTCAAAGATCAACAAAGAGATGGTGATCCTATGTTAGCATTTCTCAAGAAAAAGGCAGCAAAGGTCAATGCAAAAGGTCAAGTCAAAGGTATAAACTGTTTTTTTTTATTTAAAAAAAATTAATATAAATTATGCGTTTTAGATGCATTTACCTTTCCATTTGCATTGTACTGTATATTCTCGCATATAAGACGAGGCTTTAAATAGCAAATTACGAGCAAATAACGGTGGTGGAAGGATCATCTTATACACTCAACACTTACAAATTTTTGAATAAAATTTTATGTTTTTGTGCGGATCGTCTGTAACTCGCAAATTTACTACAGAAATGAAGCTACTAACTGTATAAATAAACGCAATTTTAAATGCGGGGAAATAAGACTTTGATGAACATTTAAAAGCCCATAAAATAGTATTACAGTATTTTGAAGATTAGCCCTACATTTGGCTCGGTTTTTAGCCAGCTAGATGCAGTATGAAGACCAGAAAGAGCAGCAAATAGTATGAATTCTGACGGTGAAACGAGGGGGTTGTCTTATACGCCCAACATACATATATTTTTCAAAAATCTTTTCAAACTCGGGGGTGAAGCATCTTATACACAAGAACATACGGTAAATTAAATCTTAGAAATAAACTGTACTTCCTTGTTGTGAACAGTCCTCTTAAATGAAGTTGATTTATAGTCTGTAACATAGCCGGCGGAACTGGGGGGGGGGCCCTCCACTTTGTGTCAGAAAATATATGTCTATGCAAATTTTTGTATGATTGGCTCCCTTGCAAATCATATTCCCATTCATCTTACTAGTGGCCCCCCCCCCCACTTTGAAAAACATAGTAATTGCTTCACATTACATTTTTAAATCTACCAAAGAGAAGTACTGCTAAACACATATCACTGACTTCTCTGCGGTAGATTTAAAATCCATGTGAAGCAATTACTGTGGGAATGCTATAAAACATATTACAAATTTTCATGTGTTAAAATAAATTCCAAAATATTAACTCAAAAAATTATCTTTTTGCAGAAAAGCCAAAATACAAAGGACCTGCACCACCGCCAAATCGATTTAACATTCCTCCTGGCTATCGATGGGATGGCGTCAATCGATCAAACGGATTTGAGAAAAAGTTCTTTGAACGTATATCAGATAAAAAGGCAATGACAGAAGTAAAGTACAAATGGAATGTTGAAGATATGTGAATATTCAATAAAAAATGTAATTATATTGCTACGTTGCTTTTCATGTGTTTTTTTTATGATTTAAAAAGTTTCCAAATAATTATGTTGAAAGGACCACTGTCCATAAATTTTGTTTAATAATTTCAGAGAAACCTTCAGATGATTTTCATTTTTTTATCTTTCCAAAACTTGTCAACTTTAACATAGCACATCTAATAAAATACACAGTACAGATATTCAAAAACTGCATGTTTTTAATGACAAACACAACATTGGGCAATAATGCTTGGCTTCTACCAGCTTATATACTCCCAGCCAGATATGGCAGCTTCAATTTTAAGTTTATTGTTAACAGAATCAAAATTTCTATCCAACGAAGGCTAGTGGTGACCAAGAGCAAAACACTGATAAGACTCAAGCTAAGCACTCCTCCACCCCCATGGTGCTGCCACTCCTTGAACCATGCAAGCCCAAAAATTATAGTATTTATTTTCATAAATGAGGTTGATTTGTAAATGGGTCTCCATCGGGGAGGCATTGCCCCCCCCCCACCCCAGTCGGGGAGAAAAACACAATTCATCGGGGAGAAAAAAAATTATATGTACTTTTTACATATTAACACTCTAAAATCCATTAAACAAGCCTTTGAAAACCCTAAATTGTCATACTTTCGGGGGACTTCGCCCCTGGATCACTTCCGAAAGGTTTTAGCGACATTCAACCATGCCCACTTTTTTCACGTCGGGAACATCAGACCCTGTCAGGACCTCTCGACCCCCCACTGGGGAAATCCTGGCACCGCCACCACCACTGTCCAGTAATACAGGTGTTGCTCATATTTTAATGAAGAATGAAAAACTGAATAAAATGAATCTATAATACTTGCACAGAAATCAAAAACTAGTTATCAAGAATTATGATACAGTTTTAATATTTAATGATAATCCATGTTATATCAAAAATTATGATGTAATACTGATGTGATCATGTTAAGATAAAAATTATTTGTTTCTAAAAAAGTGTTTTTAGGTTGTGAAGTGCTGTTAGTAGTCATACACCAGGTGCAATAATGTAACAAAAAGACAAAATTTGAATGATTGTCTATATATTAATATTTTTAACAATGTTTGATTATAATTTTTGGAAAAAATAAACAAATCTAGAATATAAATGGTACATTGTTATTGTCGTGATGGAATGAACAAACTAGATTTGCGTCGGGATAATCAAGTATATGTGTAATTTTTGTTTCTTTTCCCATCACGACAATAACAATTACCCTTCACATTGCAGTACCCACTGCTTACTTGAGCTGGAATTCAACCTTGGTGGTCTAGAGGTATGGTGCCAGCCTGGAGATCGTGGGTTCAAGTCCAACCCGATAACAACTTGCTATTTTTTCCACACATACTGCGTCAGTGGTGTATCAAGAAGTCTTGAAGTGAGGGTGCTGATTGGGGGGGGGGCCCCTGTGAAGGTAAAGTTGGTGGCTTGATGACCAGTTGAGATTTTAACTATTTTACTGTGATTTTTGGGGCTAATGGGGGGGGGGGGCGCGAGTAATTTTTGGGGAGGCGTGTGCCCCCGCCCCCCGAGATACGCCCCTGTACTGAGTACATTCACATCAAGTTGGGCAAAATTACACCTATACTAAATCTAGAATATACTAATAAAATCTGAAATTAAATAATAAATATGACCTGTGCATGTTATCAACACTGCTCCAACCACATAAATGACATCTTTTGCTGACGATATAAACATCAGTGCTAGTTCAAATTGAATTCTATACCTTTTTGTTTACCAAAGGTATGGTAGTAGGTGGTCCAAAACCACCACACTGTACTATTCTTCCTGGACCTTGCCAAGGCGAACAAAAAATTGCGTTGCCCAAAACGATGACATTCAGTAATTTTTTACTAGTACAGACTTATTTCTAGAGTTCAATAACAACTGTCAGTCAAATACATTTTGGTTAGTAAAACCTAATTTGATAAATTATTAAATAATTAAACTGTAACAAGTGGTAATCATACCAGGATTTTGGTGCTCCTCCTGGGTTTACAAAAACATATGGGCTTTTTTATGAGATTTTGGGTCAGTCTGGCCTGGAAAATACAAAGGCAATTTTTTTTGTCTCACAGCCAGAAATAATACTGTATACAGCGCACCCTCTAATTCCGAGACCACTTTAACCACTTTCTCCAAGAACTAAATAACAATCTTCAATATATTAACACTAAGCTAACCCTTTATGTGAAGACCAAACCCTAAGACCACCTCAAATTTTCAGGTCCCTAGGCGGTCTCAATTTGGAGGGCGAACTGTGTTATTAGTCACAGAATTTGTTTTAACACACTGACCTGTTATTCCTGTCAATATATACACAGTAGTGGCACCAGTGGGGGCGGGGCCTTTGCGCTCCTGTCGGACAGGCCTGGACCCCCACCCACCACAACTAGGTCGTCGAATCAAAAATTGTTAAAATGATAATTTGCCTATCCAAATGATAATCCAAATTGGACCATACTAAGCCATAAAAACTCCCCGTGAACCCACCTGGGATTTTTTATTCCGGGCCATTGACTATAGTTAAGTATAACTATAATAAAATAGAATATAACACACCTATTCATTATATACACAATATATCAATCAATCACTAATTGAGTATATAACAAAATAGAATTTTTAAAAATTTAATTGATATACTGTGTAACTTGCAAAATATTGCATTAAAAGCTAATGTATACCATCTAAAATATTTTGAATAACTTCAGCTGGGCACAAATTGCCTCTCCTCAGTCGATGGACTGTCAACCATCCGTCACTGCTGATTCTTGGTGGTAATCTAAGCAAATTGTTAAATACAATGCATTTTAAATGCAATATGATGCAGTCCATGTAATCACGACCCCTGTTGCATGTGCGTCCGGCTTAAGAAGTAACACCATATATTAAAAACTAATCATCCTCTCAATTATATACATGAATATATCAATCATTTAATTAATCTATCTAATTTTAATTTGTAACTTAGTACATATATAACAAAATAGAAAAATATATTGAAATACTGTCAAAACTGATTACACATACTTACACATCAAGATCTAATTATACCATCTAATTAATGTACCTTACAGTATAACTTAAGATTGAACAAACAATACAGTACATGATACACAATAAAGTAGTCTCTGATCCTCATCTTTAAGTTGAAATTTGTCTTTGAATGAAAACAAATGTGCTTACTTTTCTATCATTAGTTGCCATAATCGTATTTCTTTTGTTTTATTGTTTTTATCATTTATTATTGTACATTTAAGTACATCACTGCAAGGTTTCAGATGTCTGAGCTGAAGGAAAATCCAAGAAATTTGCTTTCTGTCCCAATTTGCTAAAACTAGACCATTACCATGTTTGTGTGTGTGTGTGCAAGTCATGTTTATTGCAAAAGAAAAACAAATATAACAAGCTAAAATAATATGGATAATAATAATAATCTATTCAAATAGCCATGTGACTATTCAATTTTTATTACATAATTCAATATTTTTACAACTTTCCTCTAATAATTTTTTTTTCCTTTTTATATTTTACAACTTCTCTCTTTTTATTCCACCTCCTATTTTCCCACTTTTCTTTTTCATTTCTTTCATATTCCATTAACTTGTTACATTTCCTTAATATTATCCTTACATTCTATACATTCTATATATACACATTTAGAGAACTGTTTATTAGTATTTAACTAATTGTACAGTATTGCAGTTTTTCTGTATAGTATTGTATATATGCCAGGAATATTATGAAATAAAATAAAGTGTCACCACCTACCAATATGCATTATTGTCAGTATAGAAAGAAGTAGCAACCAATTTAGGACTCCATTGTACAAGTGAAAAGTAAGCAATTTTGGCTTTAATCAAAGAAAATTTCAACTCAAATATCCATATGAAAACCAATAAAGTTTTTCTATTACATAAATAAAGGTAAACATAGTTAATTGCATTATCATGCATAAGTATTCTTCACAAAAATTAAGTTCAAACTACAACAACAGAACAGTCCTCATAAATGATGGAATGTCAGATTGGAAGTAAAAGCTTTCCCTGTGAACTCTATCATGGATTTTTTTATTCCGGTCGGTTTATTCCTAGGCTCTATTCAACCACTTGGTTCGGACCACTCCGTCGGAAAAAAATTAAGTTTAAACTAAAACTACAGAACAGTCCTCATAAATGATTGGAAGTTGCTTTTCATACTGTAGTGTCTCAATCTTCGTCAGAACCATGCAGAAGTGGTCTGAAAATGAAAAGATTTTTTTTAAATAGAATACAACATCTCTAATAAATATTATTTAAGATGTGTGTCTGCAATATGGTGTGTTAATCAGTCACCAAGCTTGGTGGTTAAGATGCTTGCCTTCCAATGCCAGGGTCCTAAGTTAAATTCCTGTCTGTGATTTTTTTCTTGCGTCCAAAACAACTCCAGTTCGTAAGTGTCATTGAGATTTAGTTTGTGTTGAGCATCATGTGTGTATGTTTTTCTTGTGAAAGGGATTGTCACCTACAAGTAGGACAATGATACATTTGCTATAATAAGCAATGATTACCATGATTTGGAACATGGAGCTTACAGGTGTGCCACTATTTCTCCTTTGATGAACAGTGTTGGATATATGATGATGTTGTCTATATCTCAAATGTGATATTCCTTGTATCTAAAGATACAGTAATAAGTTCAGTTGAGATACTTACTTGGAGCCACTCTCATTGATTACAGAATAATGGCAGAATTTGTATTTGTACTGTGAGTGTAGTCTTAAGATATCTTTTGCAACTTGCCGTACGATTAACTGAAAGATTCAAAATTAAAATGCACTTATCATATTACATGGTACATTTTGATAACCAGATATAAGGATGAATGATTTAATTATACAGTACATATGATACTGTACCAATATTTAGAAACTTGCCTCTTGTAATAGGCAAAGTTTAAAAAAAATTAAGATATTTCTTAATGGCTATATGCATATGTCAATCATTCTCATGGTCAATGACAGCCAAATGTCTTCAGCATGATGATGGGTAGTTGAACAAGTGAGTAATAATAGCCCATTACAAAAGTAGGTTATTAAACTATACAGGCATGGTTAAAGAGTAAGGAGGAAAACCCCAACTCTTCAAAAGATGCACTGAAGGCAGATCTCCAGCTTAGCAAGGAATGTTAACTGTACAGTTAAAACCCTTGTTAGGGAACAATTGGTGCTACTATCCAAACCATGGTTTGGATGGTAGCACCAAACTTGACTCGCCCAAATAGTATATTAAATGAATTGTTGATGAATTTACTTACCAATGCTGCACAAACATCTGCTGTAATCAGCATGATAAAAACATTGCTCCAACTTTTGCCTAGAAGGCCAGCAAGCAGAGGACCCAATGCAGCTCCCACGGAGCCAGTACCATCTATTATTGCTGTCACTGTTGAGAGAGCTTTTGCATTGCCTTTAAGTGATTCATGGGTACCCTGACAAGATAACAATTTTACAGATAATTTTACATGTATGTAAATTAATAACACAAAATCAGAAATTAATTTGTGGCAAAGACAAGCCAAACCAGTCACTCATCGCAAATCCAGAGATGAAATCAATTACTTACCAGATCTGCTGATACAGCGGTGGTTATCAGTGCATACGGCCCATTAACAAAAAAGCCAGTGATCATTAATAAACCTGGTGAAACAAAATTTAATAGATAAACCATTTGACATTTCTTTAAATTGCCAGGCATTTTATAGAATTAGCTACATGATAAAATTAATAATGACATTTTAAATTGCATTTCATTTGAATATGATATATAAGGTGGAATATAGAAGATATATACTTTAACAGAGATTTGATTTGTTTTATAACAAATATTAAAATACAAAAACTGTAAGGAATTTTTTCAGTAGTCCACTAGATACTTACAAATTCGAAGAGATTTACTTTGATTTCCATACAAATGGTATATAAACATCTAGAAGAGAAAAAAAAGTGTGCTTGACAAGCAATCGACTCTATTATTTTTCGAGGGTTTTCTCTTTTGAAAGAGACCAGGCAATTAGTGCAGATTGAAAACTTGAAAACCAATGCAGTTTCTCATTATCCCATCAGCACATGCTAATACTCATAAATATGCCAAGTAATAAATAGTTGATAATTGTTTTCAAAAGAGTACAAAATACTCTTGCCTGTTACCCCCTGAAAAAATACACTAAATGTTGTCATTTTAGACCACAATTTTGTCTTTCATGAGAGTACATACCCTGTTATTCCCCTTTTCTAGCCTATGTTTCATGAAAATGATTACACCTTATTTACATCTGGTAAGTGTGGGGAATAAAAGAAAATCACTTACCATAGGAGCAGCAAAAACAAGCATGACAAAACTTGCTAAGCCACTTGCTCCAGTGAGATCTACTATTAGACCAGCTAATATTCCCCCAAATATACCACCAACATCAAACAGCGTTGACAGGTCTGCGCTTTCTTCATCTGATAAGTTAGCTGCAAAAATGGAATGTGTAGAATTTAAAAATTGAACTCTCAAGAAATGGCTTCAAGTTTTGAAATTCTGCCCACATTATCAACTTTTCTTTGACAAAATATTGATGTATGCCCATATATAGTCATGATGTGCCTATATATGGTCATGATGTGATGTCATCATGACCATATTTAGGCATGTCACTCGTTTTTGTAAAATGAATAAAATTTGTTAGTCTTGAAAGTGCTTAAAGACGCCTAATGATTTTATTAACTTACGATTTACTTGTTTGATGTAGAGTGGCAACCAGTACAGGAATGTGTAACTAACCAGTTTTGCAAAAAACAAGCATAAGGAAAACTCTACTACACCCTGAAAGCAAAATATTTTAATTAATTATAAATTATTATCAGAAAAATATATTTATTATTATTTGCAACTGTTAATGTGTCAATAACAATTATCAACACCAGAAATAAAATAAATTATAGCAATCCTTAATAATACCACTATTATTGTTAAACACGTGTTTTTGTATTTATCAGATGTACAGTAATTAATATTCAACTTACAGGTATAAGCAAAGCTCCTTTAAAAGATATGGCTTTTTGTTCAGATTCAGCTACTTGCTGGAAGAGAAAATGTATATATCACCATTAATTATCATAATACAAGGCAGCCATACTGCATTCAAAAGCAAAGTAGATTCAATAGTGACTCTCACCCACACCCCCCACTCCAAAGCCACTTACTGAGCAACAAATCACTCCCTTATACCCAGGTACCACTCCTCAATAATTGTTTTTCTTTGCCCCCCCCACCCAACCCAATTAGCATCTTGTCAGCACTCTTATTTATGCCACTGCCACTATCTTATCAGCAAACCAAACAAAGTGAACTTACCAGGTTCTTAGTATTTACAGGTTCACAGCCTACATCTTCAGGATCTGGAAAAGGTTGAAGTTTGGAAAAATATGTTAAGATACCATTTTGAATTATGTCAGATCCAATCAGCTGATATACAAACAAAATAATTTACCCGACTAACTAAAAACAGAGCAACAGACCTAATTAATGGCACTATATCATTGGGGAGCTTTCCACTGAGAACGTAGAACAGGGACGTAGAAGGGATTCACTCATCTGTGACTTGTCGTATGCGTTCTACATTCTACTTTAAATCAATGTCAATTTTTTAAGACGCATACAAGGACATGTCACAAACCCAAAAGACTGATGCACCAATGTTTTAATACAGTACAGTCCTTGTTCTGGCCTGAACATAAATTCGGCCGACACCCATTCCAGATTTCTGGAGAGGATGTAACGCACAACGTTTGTGTGCATGCGCAATTAAATTAACATGACGTCATTACGTTCTAAGTCCTCTCAAATCAAAAGCTCCCTACTATTGTATAGCAATACTATTCTATAGTCTTCACTAATGCATGCTAGGCTGCAATATTGTTGCTACATTATTATTGACTTTTGCTACACGATTAAAATCTGAAAGGTCCACTGATTAATCTCAGATAAGATAGTATAATATATACTCCAAGTATCAAAATGCACGCCATCGTGTCGGATTCAATATTTCGATATTACTTATGTCATCATCAGAAATGCACGCCATCGTATCGGGGTTCAATATTGAATCCTGACACGATTATGGCATGCATTTCAATACTTGGAGTATGAATTATACTATCCTACTGTACACGATTAACGTCCACTAATATGTACTCTATGTATAGTCTGGCAGCCATTTTGTGTACGCCAGAGAAATTTGACTTTAAACAATTTACTAAAACTAGCAACTAAGTAAATAAAACATTTTAAACAAGGTAATACTATACCTGCAATATAACTTCTTTTATAGCCTAATATTATATCAAGACCAGTCTTAAACATATTTAGTATGGGCAGAATTTTGTATATGGAAATTAGGACGCTAAGATTATGAGAATTCCACTAAATTCATAATAAGCAAGGTTGAAAGCCACCAAACCAAATAGAGTAGATCCTGGATTCTAACCCAGAATACCACTAAAATTATTTTGGCATTTATTAAGTTGTCTCATATTTTCTTTCTATTTTGTGGAATACATTTAATAATATCTAAAAATAAAATAATAAAAGAATAAAATTAAAAAATAAAATAATAAAATAAAATAAAATAATATAAAATAATAAATAATTAAATAATTTACTTACAAACAACTAAAAAGCATAAAACTAGAATACTGCTGCCAATAATGATGAGTCCTGGTACAATAAAAGACCACCCCCAATCACCATCAACCCAAATGCCAGCAATCAACGACCCAAGTATATTTCCTACACTCGTGTGCGAGTTCCATATTCCCATAACTATACCACGTCTGGAAATATATACATATATAGATATAAACTGTGAATTCATTTGGAAATTTGGAACAATACTTTAACACATAGAATATTCATTCTATATAGGCTAACAATAATGAAACTTTTTTGTTTAATTATCATCTTTTATCATCTGTGTGGGTGTTCATGCTTGGGTTGGCCACGCTTAGGGAAGCACTAAGTTTTGTTTCTAATTCCCAACATAATACAATCTTACAGGTAGGTCATAATGACATGCTTTTGAAATATCTGATGGTGGAAAAGTATGATTTCATTACGATAATTATGTTAGGCCTCCTTATTTCAGGTTATGTGAATTACATTACGTCATGCTGGAATAGGGGAAGCAATAGACACATTCAGCTAGGTTTGTTTACAGCCAGTCACAAGACATATGGTGGGCATTACTATGGAGAATTTACAGTGTGATCAATGTTAAAGTATAGGAAAAGGTAATGTTATGGTTGTGGCTGCGAAAAAACAACTGCCCATTGTTAACGGGACTGGCAAGGAAAGGCACTGCGATTGTTCAAAATAATGATTATCTACTTATTCTAGCGTTCTCTGTGCTTTGTATGCTTCGGAATTTATGCGATCCTTCGTAAACTTTAGCTAGCCTAGAAATCATAGTGTGTCAAAATCGCAGTTCGCAGATCAAAGCATACATAAACAGGTCGTTGATATGCAGGGCCCTAGGCCTAGCATTACTCAACAAATCTCCATGTTTGGGGCCAGTATCTTTTGGAGCATTAGCAAACCATTATGGCAAAACTCTTCATTTCAATTTCAAATCAATTTGGTATAGTTGACTGGCATTTCAACCATCATTATTCATCATCAAAATGTGCTTTACAGCAGAAACACTCCGAAGAAGCCACACGTTTCCTATTACCGAGCGTCACTTGCGCTGCCTGTTTACCATTGATACCCACTATACATCATGTGACCAACCGAGTAGAAAGATAAAAAAAATTGCTGCTATTTTGTTTTCCCATTGCATATTCTTCTGCATGCTGTTCTCTCATTTTAGAAAAACTATTGACAGAATTTGATATTTATGAGTAACATAATTATGATGCTAATTTCTAATGATGTTTAAATCTCAAAACTAAAAAATCCAACAATCTACTATTAATATAAATTATCTTTATGCTGGTACTTACTAAATAGTGTTTAAGTATAAGCAAAAGATTTTTTATTTAATTAACTCTAAAATGAATGGACAACTTTTCTAAATGATATTTTAAAATATAACAAGGGAAACACCAAACAGCTAAAACAAATACTTACTTTCCCTTCGGAAACCAATTTCCCACGCACGCCACTACAGCAGGCCATCCGCTGGACTGCACAAGACCGCCAGCAACCTAAAAACAAAATCGTCATTTAAATTTACTAAGTGGATAAATATGTGACTGTAAACAATTGATGAAATGAAATATTTATTGCATTGTTTTACATACAATAACATAATAAGTTTGTTCATAATAGAGCACTGTAGCCACAATCAATAGTACTAGATTAAGGATAGGATCGGCCCACTAATTACTCCAGTAATAGAAGCAAATTAGGACTAATTTAAGAACAGGATCAGACCCCCAACTGCTCCAGTATTAGAATACATTAAATAAAGGTTTACACGTAGGTCTGACCCCTCTGATTCTGAGTGTCCCAATTGGATGTTTTTGGTAGACCTGAATAATAATTTTACACTTATATTAGCCTATAATATTGCAATTCATATATTTATTTTTAAGACAATTTTTATTTTATACATTTATACATTCAACTGTATAAAATTGTAATTGTATACATTTTGTCTCTTATACACATCT